GAGCGGTCAAATGCATAGGGGAAAATCGGGGCCCCCAAATGAGTCACAGCCAAAACCCAGGGATTTCTTCGTCTACCCAAAGCCATGTGAATCAAAAAGGCGGCACCCATTTGTGGTTGGGATTCTCCCAGAAAGTAACCTACCCAGGTTTGATTGGCTCCTTTTGGCCTCCCTTTTCAGGTACCGTCACCTGTAGCAAGTGGCTTGGATTTGGATGTCAACCCCCAAACCTGCAATCCAAATGGGACCGGGTCTCAGTGATCATGTTGAATGTATCAAGAAGCAATGCAATGGTTGGACTCCTTCAAATCCGTTGTCCACATGGCAATCTGGCAGGCATCCCACCTGTAGAGATCTCGTTCAAGAGTATACGGCCGCAAGCAAAAGGAAATATATACATACATGTGTATATATATATATATATATGTATTGGTGAGAATCAGCAGGCTGTTGAGAATGAGCAGCCATCGAGAGGAGTGGGGTCATCGAATATTGCTTGTAAGCATTGAGGGTTCTGCGCACACTCCGTCTATGTGACAGGAACAGTAGAGGCTCCTGTAACTCCATGATGTTTGAATTTGTCATCACGCAACCTAGCTGAGAGTCACTTCAAAGGTTTTGCCCCTATGCCCCCATCCACATCTGTGAACCCATGCCAGTGCATTTCTTTCACTATCCACTTCACGCCAAATGAGTCACAATCAAAACCCGGTTCTAAAATGGTCGACCCAGAACCATGCTTCCAGAACTAAGAATGGGGAGATCCGCAGCTATTTATGGCAAAGGGATTGCCCCTGTACTCAACAGGGATCCTTACATTATACACCTGAACATTGCCCTGTAAATGGAGGTGTCCCTTTCTTTTGCTGTTGAAAAAGAACCATGTTTCAAATGGTTGTAAAATGGAGATCTTTTAAGGAGCCCTGCTCAAATGCCTGTCCTGGAGAAAGAGTCCGAATCCGCGCCTCTAGGACTTCCACAATGGACGCATCCAGCTCCGTCACCTGCATCATCCAAAGCTAAATGCGCCGTTCGGCGCAAGACTTGACAGCTTGGACGTCTCAGGCAATGCTCTGAAGATGTTGCAAGGACGTTTCGAACTTTGCTCAACATGGCACCATACAGCTTCCGCACCACCCAATGCCCCAAAGCGAACCTCAGAGAATCCGGGCGTGTCTCTCCCCAAAATTGCGGTCCGCTTTGTTTCCCTTCAAAACCACCTGAACATGGGCCCTGCCGAGCCTCAAAACCCCCCCCCCCCAAGTAACTTTGGGCGCCCGGCCGGCTGCCGCGAGGGCATCCTACCTGCGAGCATGAATTCCGAGCGCCTTTCTGCGAGCGACGCAATTCCACTTGTGTTGCCCATGTGGTAAGTGAAAGAAAAAAACATATTCATCAGAAGGATCGTGTTTTTCCAATGCGGTCATACAGTATGTATAATATGCATGTATATGGTACATGCACGGAACCATGCATGCCTGTCATGTACATATATGCGGTGTGTTGCATGAATACACTTATGCATGCCTCCGTGAACGACGTGGTCAACACATGTCCATGCGTGCGACATGCAGAAAAGCCAAACTCGCGGGTTGTTTGGAGTCGAATTCTATGATGTGAATATCAAATTATGTGGTCGGCTCACAGAACGTACGCACCAGAGCGAGCTAACATGAGTAATTACACACGTGAGCGACTGTCTTCAGCTTCAAAATAGTCAAAACCCTGTATTGTGGCATAGTTACCCAATGAAGGGATTGTTTGAGGGTATTCCCCGTGTAAGACACAACAAAGAACCTTGATAGTGCACATGTTGTACTGAATCTCATATTCATTAACTTTCCCAGATAGGGCCTTTGCAAAAGCTCGTTCTTTGCTGTTTCACCCCCCTTGGAAATGAAGAGCATTATCTGAGCTCAAGTCATGCCAACAAAATAAATGTGATGACTGGTCATACTTCCTTTGCCCCCATCGTCTCCCTCGCTCTCGGAAGACACCCTGTATCCTCAAAACCCCCAAGCAAAAATGGTCTCAGCGCCCGGCCATCGACGGCATCACCCACGGACTTCGCGGTGCGCCCAATCCGCCGAGAAACCAATTCGCGTCTTCGATTTGTGTGTGGCTCTGAAGGCTGTCGTCGTTTTAGGCCGATCATCGGCCTGTGTAGGCCCCATTTGCCGCCCTGCACCCTCCCAGTTTGCCCTTGAATCGTGGCTGCAGCACAAAGCCTTGCCGCCGCCAGCTGAGCGGTGTGCGAACATATGTGCATTCTGCGAACAACCAGCAGCCCCGCAGCACAGTGAGCAAAGAGAATGCCTTTTTGATCAGAGATCCAGGGTCGCACGATTTCTTGGTGCCGCTGAACAGCTCGAACCCTTCCCCTATCAGCATATCATTCCCTTTCACCCTCACTGTTCCGAAAGCTCAGAATCATACTTGTAAGAATTATATATGGTGGCTCTTTGGTGTCTCTTTTTGCGGCTACCCGTGCTTTTCTTCTGGTTTACAAGGGAAACCAAGAGGAAAACCCACCGTTTTGGGCGGTTCCCTAGAAAAAAGACACCCAAAGAAACGTCGCGAACAGCTGACCGGCAGCCTTCCATGGCTAGCCGTCAGTCGGGAAGCCATGCCCAGCGGGCCCAGTGGAAACATTCTGGTAGCATGGGTGTGGCGCAAAATTAAACGAACCGATGACGAACTGGAACCCATGGAACCAATGACTAATTTCCGGAAGTGCTGGAACCAATGACTAGCTTGTATCGGTTGCGCAGGTTTTTGTCTTTGGTTCAATTTACCAAGGTGCCATGTTGGTACATGTTTTTGACCCACAGCCGTATCTAGAACACCTAAGGCTTGGAGGTTTGTAGTAACCTGGGAGAAAACCATGTTTTTGTGATTCCAGGTTGCGCCACTGCGCATGGCTATTCTAATCGTAGGAAACACTCACAGTCAGTCAGTCTTATTCTTCTGAGTGTGATTGGCATCATATACTCTGGATGAAGCGAAGACTGCAAAATACTGCGATTCCTGCAAAGAACGAACAAGATACCACAAGTCCCACAATTCCCAGAACCAGGCACGCATGCTATCATTCAAAGTAAACAGCATCTTTACAAACGCCTGATTCGACGACCACTTGCACTGGCAACTTTCCCGTTGGCCCTGAACGGCCAACTAATTCGGCAAACACTGGGCTTTGGTCACGGCTATGAGTCCTCTTCGAGGAAAGTGGGCAAGCCATACAGCGGCTGAGCAATTTGCAGCAGCGGGCCACTGGGTCAGGGGGTCAGCTTTTTGGGTAATGCATGCTGGATGAATCAGCAGATGAGCAGAAAACAAGAACGAGATTGCGCCACTTGGGATATTGCATGGTCTCCTGGTGTTCGCTAGCAACGGCCGAAGAGAAGGGGGCATGGCTCTCAGCTGCGAAGCTGAGCTTCGTGTTCTTGGAGCTATGAGCAGTCGTGCAGCTTGCTTGACCATATTCAAAATACAAGCTTTGACAGTTGTTGGCACACCAAAAGGCTGTGGTTGGGCTTTCAAATGGTAGCCAAGGCGTCTACCATCATCAAATGGAAATGCAAAACCATGGCTGGAGCAAACCCAAGTCATTCTTGGGCACTTCGTTCATGATGGGCCAGGAAAAAAAGCATAGTGATATCTGTACAAGCCATGATAGTTTGAAAACAAACATGTGGGTTTCCACCGGATCAAAGTCCTTTAAAGTCTGCTCCCGACGAACCATCCAGAGCCACACGTGGCCAGCTGCGCCGGCTTGCCCAAAGTGCGCGCCGCACGCGCAAAGTAGCCAGACTCGACCGAAATACATGAGGAGTGTGAGCAGTGGCAAAACGGCAAGGAAATGAACCGTGTCTTATCCTGCATGTGTGTGACAATCAAAACCTGGTATAAAAATGGTCGACCCAGAACCATGTCAAAAATTAAGAAGGCGGCCGCAACTATTCATGGCTGGGACTGTTCCTTGCTAACCTTCACTTACCCGGGTTTTGATCGTGACTCATGTACCGGCTGTAAAGCTCCAACAATGAAAAACTGTTGCAAGCAAGAGAAACAGGACGCAACGTGACCTGGCTCAGTAAGGAATCCTACCTCGATCTTTGCCTCTGCTAAAATTCATGCTCGTGGGAAGCACCGCCCCCCGGCAGAATCTGCGTCTCCTCACCGGGTCAACGGCCATGTCCAAAGAAAACGAATGACAATGTGTGCTCCATCCATATTTCAGGTGCCTCCACGCGCCACAAGAGTTGAAACCATAGGTGTCCTTTTCGGGGAAATACATGGCCCTGGTAGCTGATTAAAATACCAGGTAAACCTGGGCCATCTATTTTTCTACCTAAACAACCAAAAAGGACACCTATGGTTGTAACCGTCGAGACTGCACTTGCTAGGCTTGGCTGATCTTCGGTCCTCGGGGCACCGCCTGCGGCCCGCTCTGCCACTTGCCCACGGTCAACAAACCAAAAGCTCTGCGGTCGTATCTGAGATGCCACCCCAATGGGCCCCAGTTGAATTGACGATCTGTGCCAAACATTGCAAAAGCCCTTTTCCCAAATGAGACACCTTCAGAATAGTTTCCAGGCGCAAGGTGTCAAAGCAATACTACAGCGGGAGAGCTTTTTGTTGAAACACCCAGCAGTTCGCCAATAGCGACCACCGGCAAAACACTCAACAACGGCCATGCAATGAGACTGTTGCGCCCTGCCTTATGCCTCGGGTTCTGAGGTCTCAGGGCGGCCTGAAGTGACGGCGTGTCGCACATGACTTCTAGACTCGGAGGTCCCCACTGCCGAACTGGACAGACCATGTCAGTGGCCAAAGTATTGAAGAGGTATCCGAGCTTAAACTTTTCAGAATATGAACCAAGCACATCTCTGCAGCCAGCTAGTTGTCCGAAGGCGATGACAAAAAAAGAGCGCTTCAGCAAATGGGTCACCCGCTGTCGTCTGAGGCTCTCGGCTGTTCGCCAACTTCATCCGTGCCTGGAAGCGACGAATCGGGTCAAACGCGCCTCAAGTCCCTCCAATCTGGCAGTTTTTGTTGCCTCGATTCGTCCAGCCTATGCACCTTCTTCATCTTTTTCGCTCGCCACGCGCGCTTGCGCCCTGTGCACTGAATTAAGCTACTCCGAGTAGGCAATTCACATTTCGCATCCAATGGCGTCTTTCAAAGACTAAAACTTGAAGCAAGTAGCAAAAGCCTCAAATACACCTTTGGCGTTTGGACCTAGCGTGATTTCTTTTGTGTATGTCCTCTTGACAAGAAATTCCATGCCACGTTCTCAACTTGGCTTATTGCGACTCATTGCAATGACTGGCCTTGCCGATTCGATAAACTGCGTCAAGAGAGCCCCTGCAAAGCGGGAAAGAGAGCAAGAAAGTTGCTCTAGATATCTGGTTCCTGTAAGCCGAAAAAACACTGGCAACACTTGTGTTGTAAAGTGGAATGGACCCTTTGTGCCCGTTCAGCTGACCAATCAGCATGGGATTTGGGCGGAGGCTACAGTCCTCTGCGCGTCTCCGCTGTTTTCCAACGCAATTCAGGCAGCAGCTGTCTACCTCAGCACTGCGTCAAAGGGAGGTGTCAATCTTTTTTGTTAGGGAGCAGGTTGTGGTGGAGATGTTTTTTGAGTATCCATTATCCTGCAACCCCCTCTACGTATCCTGAGAATTGCGACGTGATTGTTCCAAGTGGCGCGCAACAAAAGTTAGTCGTTGTTGGAAATTGATCAAAGGTATGAATACCATTCGTTGTTCATGTATGATTATAGTGTTTTAAGTTTCACGCAGTTAAATACTGCATTCAAAAACAAAAAATGAAATGTTTAGTTCATGTGTATATTTAAATAAATATATATATATATATTGGAAGAAAGGAAGAACCTGCAAGGCCGGGGGTTATATATATATATATATAATACTACTTGTTGTTTATATTATGTTATTACACGCAAAGCCAGCGTTCCTTTGCAACTGCCTGGAAAAGCCGAAAACGCGCTCGTGCGCGCTCGCGATACCGTGGCCCACGAATTTGAGGCGCTGTTCAACATGCGCCATGGTCGAAAGGCTGTGGGTCAAAACGCCTGGTACCCCTGGTGAACATCAAAGATGGCAAATGGATGTTCATCCACCCCAAAATGGAGGCATAGGTTGTGACCCACAGCCAAAACTGCTAATCCTTACCAGGTGGATGACCATCCCTGTTAACCTCAAGTAGTTCGACCACGTCATGGGAACAAAGCATGTGCAAAAGTCACGCGCGTTGTTCTTCCGAAGCGTCCAATGATCTTCGTCTGGCTGCTTGTGGAAAGCTGCTGTTCGAAACTTATCTTACAGAAGGCAAGGGCTCAACGGCTCAAAACTTTGCTTGCAAGTCCAGTCCCAAATTCTCAAAAGCCTGCTAGTCATGCCGACGAGTGTGCTGCGCTTGTGCTTGCAGCCCTGCAAAATAGTGCAAACGTTGAGGAGTGAAAGGGCCTAGCCAGGACTCATGGTTCCATGTTGCAAGGCAAGTGCTCTCGACCAGCACTAGTCGCAGCAATGATCGGAGCTCAGCTAGCCTTCCCTTCAGTCTAACAGACATGCTGTGCAAGGGATACCAGCGCACCCCCAAGTTCCAAACAAAGCAAGAAACGATGCATAGATTTTGTCTGGGTGTTTCACTGTGTTTGTTCATTGCCAGAACCCCATGAGCGCAGAAAGCATGCCGTTGTGCCCGCGAAGCAGCCAGGTGGCTTCCGATGCACAACCTGCACGTGGATCAGCGCAGGGTGCTAGTGGAATGCGCCTCAAACCGGGAGGCGCCACCAAAGACTTTGCTGTCACAGGGTGGGTTGTACGCAACAAGGCGGGATGAGACGTCCCTCTTGATATCACCAGATTGCATCGAGCTTTCTGGCCGGTCCCAGACCATATCCAACCAAGGTAGTCGAAACATGAAAGTCCATTCTAACCCATAGGAGCGTTGCCAGCTGCCAAAACCAAAGGAGAAATGTGCGACGTCAAGTTGCAGTGCTTTTGCCCGCCCGATGCAGTCAGAGCAGGTTGTGTCCCCATTGAATAGGTCAGCATCTTTGTGGGTTTTCTGCTGCGCAGAATGCGAGAACTTGCTGGAACGCACGGCCACAAGGCCACGAGGCGCCCGCCCTTGCGTTGCTTGGGAGCCGCCCGTCCTGATCCAATGGACCCAAGTTCTGCAGCGTTTTTTTCGGCTGTTTTTGTGGCTCTTTCGAAATGTTTATGTTAGGGCTGGCATTGCAAGATGCAATATGAGTCGTGTTGAGAGTAAGCCACGCATGCGACTGCAAGGGGCAAATTGTTCCCGTGAAGAAGGGCCGTTGGATCTGCCCTTGAACCTGAGCTGATCAGTGAGTAGACTCCAATAGCAACGAAAAACTGGGGACCGGGTTCAGAGATTAGGGTTTAGGGGTTTAGGGTGCAGGGTTAGGGTTTAAGGTTTAGGGTTTAGGGTTTAGGGTTTAGGGTTTAGGGTCTAGAGGGTGTAACGAATGGATTGAGGAAGTTTTGTGTACTGTGTTAGCTTTCCCACCCACCCAGACTGGTTACCCACAACATAGGAGAGTTTGTAAGTTTTCCAAATTTCAAGACGGCCTTCGCGAGCGACAAATGTGTCCCCAACTCTGGAAGTAATCGCGAGCCCTCTAGATTTGGAGCCCGGATAGCAATTTTTACATTGCCCCCTCTGAACAATTTATCAGCGGCCGGCCAACCCCAGATCCGAGACTTGGAGAAGATTTGAAGAGAAAAGAAGCCAGTGGGAAGAGGTGAGAGCGAAGGAAAGCTTGAGCTGGCCCGGGACAAAGCCAAGGAAGGCTTTTGAGCTGGCCCTTCGGGATTTGGAAGAGAAGCAATCCTAAGACCTTTCCCTCCCACAGCACAGAATCCTTAGAAAAGATAATTTAGGGTTTAGGGTTTAGGGTTTATCAATTCGCACAAATTGATAGAACAGGAGCTACGGCAGTTTTTTGCTACCTGATTGAATCGTCGAGTATTCCCACCTCGTTCTCCAACCCTGTACCCGTTCGCACTCATTGGCCTCGTTCTCCAACGCCGCATGTGTTTGTGATCTCAACCACCATCTATATGTCATGGCCCTGCCTCGTTTTGAGGATGTTCCTACCTCTTGTTGCACCTAATTCAGTGTGTTGCCCAAAAATATGCGTCCGCTCCTCCTTCGCGGCAGTTTTCTGCAAATAAAGGCGCTCGTGCGCGCGTGACCACCACAAAACGAAGAACCCACATCCAAAAACTGATCCAAGGGCCCATGACCGTCCCCGAAAAAAACTTAGATGCCAAATGTTGCTTTGCAGTTGGAGGCAATTCTCAATGAGATTCTCGATCAATTGAATCCTTTCGTGGCCCAGGCTTAAAAGTCGACAATCCGAGCCGCAAGTAACAATCCTAGGCGAAGGTGGGTGCATCATGGCTTCCTTTCGGTGGCCCTTCAAAAGCCACTATTAAAGGGGTACCCTCAAGAAAGACACGAGAGGCGCAACCATTCCAGGATTGAAATAAAACAAAGCGTTCGCAGCGGGTCCTTGGGCCCAACTTTGGCGAGCCTGGCAAAGGGAAGTCACGGCCTGAGACGCTTGGATCTTGGAAAAGTGAGCTAGAGCACCAGGCCTCCTTGCTCGTCTTGCAGGTTGCCAAAAATCATTTTCCGCGGGTCTTTTTCCGAACTTCGCACGTTGCAAGCCCCATAGGCTACAAGCAAAATGTAACGCAGCCACTGCGGCTTTGCCGCTTGGCTTCGCGCGCGTTCGCGCGCGGATTTGCGTGCCTTCGTGTGTGGTTCGAGGCGCAAGGTCAATTTGGCCATGGCATTACGCCTCCACCCAGTAACGTTGAACAGAACAAAACCCTCAGGCAACAAGTTGAAAGGCCCACCTTCGACCAGTTTCTCCGAGCTGAGCCGGCGCGGAAAACGGCTCAGGCGTAGCCACCTGCCAGCTTTTCCGGGAGCACGGATCCCGCCCAAGATGCCACGTGTCTCACCCCGGATTTGCCTTGGAACCCAAATCCCATCGGAGGCCTTGGAACTGGGCAACCACCATCTGCAGGCTGTTCAGCCACAGGTCGCGCCTGGCCATCCGATGGCTTCGGCTGCATCGATTCGGTGATTGGGAGAAGGCTGTGGCAACATCAGCAAGCACCGTTGGAGACGTGAGAAGAGAAGCGTGATTTGGGGCTCGAATCCCGAATGGCCTGGCGAACGCAAGCCCTACATGGTCCACGCCCAAGCTGAGCGGCAAGAGAAGTTTAGCGCAAGCCTCCTGCCTTTTTTGGGACCAGCACGCAAGCAGGGTCGCCAAAGGTGAATCTGAAGCGTCGCAACTTCAATGCTTCAACAAGCGCTCCCTGTCCGTCTTGTCTGCGGATTCCCCCCTCAATCCTTCCGCAAAGAAGCAGCCCCTTTTCTGCTGGTTGCGATATGCCTTCTGGACACTAAAGCCCCCTCTCATTGCAACAACCCTTCACATGAAACAAGGCCTCCGCCACTTGGGCCTGGACATTTCCGTCTCCGCGCGACTGTTCGGCCACTGCGAATGCAGTGGCAGTAGTAGGCCAAAACAGTGGCCCCAGAAACACACCCCCCCAAAAAAAAAAGCACCGAAATCGCGGTGGCAGTCGCGATTTTACCCAAAAAAAGACCTCGTGAAAAAAGGAAAATCATCGCGGCACCAAAAACCGAGAAGCCCTCGCTTCCTTTTCCGCTCCGAGGCCCGCTCTTGTCCTTGGAACCCGCGTCCAGGAACCAGGTCCTGCGCCCTGGGCCTGAGTGACTGGCAGGGGAATCGGCTATGAAATGGGAGGTGGTGTAAAAAAGTGTGTGTGTGTGTATATATATATAATACGACAAGACAATATTAATGTATACATACGTGTGCGTATATATATATATATATACATGTATATGTATATGTATATGTATATGTATATATATATATACATATCAGGGCTAC